GTGGTCACTTTCAAAGGTTGCGCAGTCGTAGTGCATATAGAGGGGCCAGATATCGTTGGTGAAAATAACGTCTAGTATATTGTTTCCTCGGGTGGGTTTGTCAACTATCTGTGTCCAGTTATTAAAGCTAATTGAAGACAAGAATTCTTCGTGCCTGGTAGGTGCTGATAATTCGACCCAGTCTATTTCTTGGCGGTTAAGGTCGCCTGTAATTATCTTATATTCAGTTTTTATGTTAGCTATATTGCTTATTAAGAGGTTGAGGCTTGTGTCATCACTACTACATTCTGGAGGGGAATAGAGGCATCCGACTAGTATGTTTTCCTGGGCATGAGATTTTATTGTGGCAAAACACGCTTCTCCAGCAAAGGTTTCGGTTGGGACATCAATACCACTTTGTTCAATGGTAGTTTTGATGTAGATAAGACAACCTCCGCCTCGTTTATTAACACGGTCCTGTCGATAGAAATTATAATTTGGGACATATAGTGAAGCATTCGATATAAGCTCATTTGCCCATGTTTCTGTAATGCAAATGACGTCGGGGCTATATATTTCAACAAAAGTTCTAAGTTGGGATATTTTGTTGACAATCGATCTGGAATTTATAAGAGCTATCTTTAGGATGTTGGATATGGAAGAGGTGGGCTCTGGTGAAAAAAAGGATTTCTGGGGGTACTTTGAGTGATGGACTAAATGGAGGTAGGTGTGTGATTCTCGGAGGATATGGTGATGCGTATGGCGTAGTGTGAGTGCATGGGCTAGTGTGTATGGACTGAGGGTACATATGGGGAGGTGCGTTAACTAGGTGATAATTGTACCTAAATGGAGTTTCAGTTGTGGAGGTGTAAAAGCCAAAGTAATTTGTGGGGTTGTAATTAGGTGGTAAGGAGTTTGGAATGCTAGAGTGATTTGGCTTATTCCTATGCCATGCAGATGGATTTTGGGGAGTCGAGATGCCGTTATAGAAGCTTGTTTGTTTTTGGTTAGAGTTTGATGGGCTTCTATTTGTTATGTCAACATACCTAGGACGTTTTGGTTGTGTTGGTGTGCTTAGTAAGGCCTTATGGTTTATGTGTCTTGTTTGGTAGTTGTTTTATAGTTCTGACTGATCGGTCTTGGGGAATGTAGTTAAACTTATACTGCTACCTAAGGGTGTCACATGACTCGGTCCGGGATCTGCCTCATCGTTCTGTTCTGGTTGAACGTTGTTATTTTGTTGTGCCTTCCTCGTTTGTTTCTGACCAGCAGTCCTAAATACGTTTGCAGTTGCGCGTTTTTTATCATGAGAACTAGAGTCAGACGTACTTGCTGGAGGTCCTTCTGCGGGGGCTGTGGGTTTATCATTTGGTTTACGCTGGCCTGTGTACTTCTTTTTATTAGTGCTAGAAGTAGAAGTAGTGGCTAAAGGTTCAGTTGAGGGACCGGAGTGCTGATTATCGTATTTGTAGCTGGTGTCTTTTTCCTGAAGTTTACGTCTTTGCATAGGTGTCAAATCTGGACCTATAAACGAGTTTAGGTTCCGCAGATTTCTGTTTACTTCGGGATTTTGTAGGACAATCTCAGCTTCCGCCTGTGAGTAGAATGTCACTAAGACGGGTTTGTTTTTGCTTCTGGAGTAAAGTCTTTTAGTGTTAGCTACTCTGATATTTAAGCCACACGAATGTATAAAATTTTGAATTGATGGCGTCGGATTAACGGTGTGCGGTATATTACGGATAATTAAATTGAGCTTGCGTTTCGATATATCCGCGACTTCTGACGAAACTAAGTGTATAATCGATTCAATTTGTGGTAGGCTCGTTAGGTTGTTCGTGAATCTATTTGAGTCTGTTAGTGAATCGAGAATCGTAAAAATATGTTCATGTTTCTCGATGAACTTCTGTAAACGGACGATGGCCGAAAGATCTACTTTGTCGACAGCAAACGTAACATCAGTCATGGTTAAATGGAGAGAGTGTAATTGATTTATGTGTTATTTTCGACAGCTAATAAAAGTTGACGCAAAATTGACGCAGAAATGTGTCAAATATTTCAGTTATAAATGAATTTCAACTTATCTCGAGTCTAAGGATTTTGAACGGTTGTGCTGAAGCTTCCCCGTGGGACCCGCGTGCTAGTTGTTCGAGTCGTTTGGCATTCAGGTACTATTGTTTACTTAACTACTAATATCTTCCTACCGCTGATAATCAAGGGTTACTGACTGCGTCTTTCTCGTCATCTACAGTGTTGACTCCAACCGAGTAAGGTCAAGCGCTGTGTCCCACCCTGTTTTTTCATGCCCTCACAGGGAAAGCTTCTGACCGGAGAGTAAATGAGGCTGAGTTCTCTGGCAGCCCTACCGGTCGGACATTTTAAGTCTACGATATCAAGAGTGGCAGACGTTTTCTTGTCGACACTGGCACTCAGATCAATGCCATTCCCCTACCGCAGGTGGCCGAAGTCGTCTCAACCCTTGTCTTTTTCTCCAGACCGTAAAGTAATCCTCACTCTCAATCTTTGGGTTGCGACTCCTCTTCCCAGTCGTTGGTCTCAGACGACTGTTTCACCGGATCTTCATGGTTGCTGGTGCTGTTATCTCTATTATTGGTGCTGATTTTCTAGTCTCTTTCGACCCTCTGGTTGATTGCAGGCAACTCCGCCTTCATGAACTCGTCATCATCATCTTCGTCAAAGGCTTCCAACCATCGCTAGTCTCCAGCCATCCATCCACCCTTGACCCACACCCGGACCGTTCAGTTCGGAAACTTCTGGCCAGATATCCTAGTCCCACTAAGCCTCACCTTTCGAATCCCTCATTGCCCCATAATGTTGCCCATCATATCAAAACAATGGACCCTCCTATTTTCTTAAGCCACCAACGTCCTGTTCCCGTCCCTCTTGCTACCAATGCTGAAATTGATCACAGGTTGCGACTAGGGATTATTAGATAGTCTGGCAGTCCCTGGGCATTTCTATTGCGCACAGTTCCAAAACCACTGACGGATAATTAGTGTCTTTGCGGCAATTACAAAGTCTCGAACAACATCGCGATGCCCGACCAGTACCGGGTTTCTCATATTGAGGGCTTTCGCAGAATTATCCTTGGCAAAATCGTTTTCATGAAGATAGGATTGGTCTGGGCTCTTCATCAAATTCCAATTATGCCTGAGGACATTTCCAAAGAAGTTGTGGCGACCCCTTTTGACTTGTTCGAATTGCTCTGCTTGCCAATTGGTCCTCAAAATGCCTTGCGAACATTTCAACGATTTACTGATCGTTTTTACGGGGACTTTCGTTCGCCTGTGCTTGCACTGACGATGTCTTATTCGCCAGTTTTGGCCCTGAGGAACATCGCCGATACCGGTCTTCAGCCGTTTCCAAGAGTTCGGAGTCACCCTGCATTTTGATAAATGCGCACAACGAGTTAGTTCTATTGAGTTTTTAGGTCACTAGATCGACTCCAGCGTCACCCGTCCCCTTCCGAAAAAAGTTATCGTTATTTGGGACTTTCCGCCGTCTACCGTCCAATGTCAGCTCCAGCGGTTTGTCAGTGTGGTGAACTTTTATCGACGATTTTTCTGGAACTGTGCCGACTGGACCTACATCGGCAGCACGCATGTCATCCGAGCAAGTTAAAGACCCTCTGGCTGATGCTACTTCTCCAACTCACTTTCACGTTGATACACCCATCTCTCTGGTGGTCGATACTTCCAATGTCGGTGTCGGCGCGGCGCCACAACGACGTCTCCCAGATTCGATTTTCTGTTTGGTCTTCTTCTCAAGGAAATTGTCCAATCTCAGAACCCGCTAAAGCACATTCGGACGCGAACTTCTTGTTTATCATTGCATGAAGCACTTCTGGCATATGCTGGAAGGCCGAGAGTTCACAATATCTACAGACTACAAGCCTCTCAATTCCGCTTTGCAATCCCAATCCGACAAAGTAAACCCTTGGAAGATCCATAAACTGCACTACATCATACAGTTCACTTCAGACATCCGCCACATCAATGGGTCACGCAATGAGCTGGCCGATGCGTTGCGCAGGCCCTTCATCGCACATCTCCAGCTTTGTCCGGAGATCGACTTCGCTGAGATGGTTAAGGAAAAACGCCGTATTAGCCCTCTCTATAACGAGGATGGTTCTGGGCTTCAACTCCAGGATCTGACAGTGACTACTGGCAGCGGCGCCATTCCCTGCGACGTCTCCATCGTCTACCACCGTTCCTTTGTGTCTCATCCCTTCTCGGCTAAGTTTTTCCCTCCCTACGTAACCAACGTCACCCTAAGACCCAAGCAACTGAGAAGCTGGTTCCCGACCACTTTGTCTGGCTTGGGATGCACAAAGACATGAGAGCATTGACACGTACGTGTCTCGTCTGTCGGTGGACCAAAGTCCAGAAACACAACGAGGCCCCGTTGGCCCCTTTCCCAACCCTGGTGCAAGGTTCAGCCACGTCTACCTGTGCATTTCAGGTGCCCTGCCTCTGTCCAATGGGTGTTTCTGTCTCCTCATTTGTGCGGATCGCTTCATCCTGTGGCCGTAAGCTATCCTTCTGCCCGATGCCGAGACTTCAACGGCGGTCAAGGTGTCCTTCAGTCGTCGGGTTGTCAGCTTTTATGCCCTCTCAATTATTACAGTCTGGACCTAACCTCGTCAAGTCTCTCCTCCTCTTTTCAGGCTGTGCGCGCATTCGCCCGACAGACTATCACTCGGCTACCAAGGGCGTGGTCGAGCAGTTTCACCGTCAACTGAAGACTTCTTTACGCGCCCCAGACGGACCGAAGAACTGGATGGACCATATCGCTTGGCCCTTAGAGGTATCCGTTTCGTTTCAAAGTCGGACCTTGACTGTTTTGCCACGTATCTGGTGTTCGGTTTCACTGTTGGTCCTTTCGGTGAGATGATCTCGTCAACTTTCCGCGGTGCGGTCAAAAATCCTATCAACCTCCTGCACCGTCTTCGACATTTTCTGCGAACGCTATACTCCGGTCCACCTAGGCCGTCAGTCTCTTAGCATTATCTCTAAAAAGAATCGATGTCATGCTCTCACGACCTGGTACGCCAGCCATTGAAGCCTCCGTACGACTCTCCTTTCCGGGTTTTCTCTCGAGGGACAAGAATCTTTCATAAAAAACGCGGAACTCACGAGGATATCGAGGGCATACACAACCTCAAGCTACTGCCCAGGACATTACGCTCGACGACCCCGATGGTCACCTGACCCTTGTTTCTCCACACTTTCCCTCCACCTTTCTGTCCCTTATATTAACTCTTCCACCATGTCCAGTGCTTACAACTGCAACTTTTGTGTCAAAGTCAAACATTACATCCGCAACACAAACTCACCCTTCTGTTCCTCCATTATGTCATCCGCAGCAGAAATCGCGTTCACTTCCTGGATCGTCTCGTTGCTCCCTAGTTGAGACCTGTACGCATCCTTCGGCGTAGCTTTAAGACACCCTCTAGTCTGAGGGGAGTAGGTTGCCGAGGAGACGCCTTTTGACGAGAAGGCACACCGGGAAATTTTGCCACCTAGAAATACAATTAACACTCGAAGTTTACAGCGGTCACTGTGAAGAAGAATCTGGGGCAGCTACAGCCCATTAAATCTCCTGATCCGGATGGCTTATCCGCAAAAGTTCTGGATGAAATCGCAGACCAGCCAACATCCCCGCTCTCTAAGCTCTTCAGATTTCGATGGAGGCTGGAGCTTTAGCCGCTGACTGGAATCCAGCCTCGTCAAAATCCGTTTCAGCGATGAAAACGGATGCGAAAAATCGGTTTAGGTGTTCTGTTCTAGCGTCATTTTCGATGATATCCTCTTTGTTTTCCCCTTTCAACACCGAGACCGTCTTTTTGTTATTTTATCTGCTGTTGATGTAGCTGAAGAGCATCTTTGGCTTATCAACGGCCCGTTCCATAACCCACGTTCCATACTCCTTCCGTGACCTGCAAATATTAGACCTTGCCTCGTTTCGCTTTCGACGAAACTGCTCATAATGAGAAGGTTGCTTTGCTGTTACATGCCTTCTTCAACGTTTATTCTTCAGGCTGCCCTCTTTCTTTACGTCTCGCGTTAACCAGGCAAGACGATTTGTCTTCTGAGCTCTCTTTGTCGGGCAGAAACGATGCATAACTTAGGTTACAACTCCTTTGAGGGTGTTCCAATCAACATCCGGATGTCCGGTAAGAACGTCATGCCAGTTCACTACCGATTATTCACTTCCAAGGACAGCAAAATTTCCTCGTCAGACATTCGACCGATGATCGGTCGTATCCATTTGTTAGCTGCATAGGCGGTATTCACAAAACGGCATGACAATAATTTTTTATTAAAGACCCGTCGGGGTCCCATCAAAGCAAGTAAAAATAAATTTAAATGCGAATTTTAGACGAGGTAGGCAGAATCTCTACAAAATGCAATCCATAGTTTCTGAATTAGTAGTCCTTTAAAAAAAATGATTGGCGAGAGGTGAAAAAGAAACTCCAATTAACAATTTAAAAATGAATGGATTAATTTTACAGGAGAAAAAAACTCCTCGATAAAAATAATAACAGAAAAATGCGGGTAGGACTGGCCTGCATGTGGCGGCGTATAACGGATTGCAATCGGACATTATCAGGGCAGAAATAAATGCCAGCCTTGAGGGGTACGTATGCAGGTCGAACAGGACTGGCCTGCATGTGGTATTGTATACAGGATTCAGATCTAACATGGTCAGGGCAGGATTGATACGCCGGATGAGACTATTCGCGTCCAAGAGGCCAGACGAGAGGAACCCAGACGCGATCGGTCACAGTTCGCCTCGATCCCAGCCGAGGAGTGAGGAAGGGAGGTACGACCAAACTACTAGTAGACGGCGAATACTGAGGGCTCCGCCGTGAGCGCCCACAGATCGCATGAGGTCGAAATGCGGGAGATGACATAAAGAACCGCAAAAATCTTCGCTATGGGGGAGGAGTGATAGCAGTGGATTTAGAAACCAATTCCAAACAGGGTTTTTAATGATATAATTGAGGGTTACCACTTGATCTACCACTACATCCCAGGAGTACCCTTCTCGAAGTCAAGAAGCCGAGTGTTCGGGAATGAGACCGTTAACAGTGCCTTTACGTTTTCCGGTGTATTGTGTTTGCTTAATTTCGACTTGAATACCGGTAGCTTAGGCGATGGCCTAATTTTTGACGGAAGATTATTCCAAAGGAAGACATATTTGGAAGCAAAAAGAAGGAGCGTTTAGATGTAGTGCAAAGAAGCGGCTAAATCACCATGGAGGAGTTGCGCGTGGCATAAGACCGATCTCTCGGAGTGAGAGTGTCATTGAGCTGAAGATTGGTGCGAAAAAGGAAGCAAAGGCTAGCTTCAAGTCTTCTAACCCACAAAAACTTAATGTTCGCCAGCTGACATCGCTGAGTATAAGAAATACCGGACGAAGCTTGAGAGCACAGTTTCCGGGTGAAAACCCTCTGAACATTTTCGATTTTATTACGGTCACAGGCGCTCATTAAACCAAAGCACGGACAGCAGTTTTCGAGGACTGGAAGAACAAAAATTTGATAAAATCTTAGCTTCATTTGCGGAAGGAAAAATTACGCGATATGAATCCACATATCTGCGCGGCTTTGGCAGAGATTCTATCTGCATGAGGTAATAAAGCAAGCTTGTTTGTGTAACTTAGACCTAGGTCCTTTATGGTGAGGCATTCTGAGAGTGGGTTATTCTGAAAAATTATGGGACCAGGTAGTTTGGTAGGACCAAAAGACATGAAACTACACTTGGATGATGAAAACTCCATCTGCCATGTTGAATCCCATCTGCTTAAGCGTAGTAAATAGGCATTACTTTTTTCAACACAAAAGTTTGCGGTATCCTTGGAATATAAATAAACGCACTTGAGGTCATCGGCATAAACAAAGGTTTGCGAATTTCTGAGTACAGTCGAAATATCATTGATGTAAAGAAGGAAGATTAGCGGACCCAGAACCGTGCCTTGAAGTACGCCACTCGTGATCGAGTGGGGTGTCGAGTAGCTATTACCGACCATGAATTTCCAGATTTGCTGATGTACCATTTAATTATGTTGCTGTTTATCGATAGGAATAGAGAGCGCAAGGACGAAAGCCTCATTCCCTGAATAGGCCGACTTAAACCGACTTATGGACCTCCTTGTCACCGGCTGCAACCACTTTGGAAGGACCAGCAATACGGTCAAGAAGGTGGTCATGCATCAACAGTCTCCAAGTGGTCTCGTTGAACGCCTCCGGACCCAGTGCGCCAACGACCCTACAACGCCTGCCTCTTTTACCACTCTCACCCCTGCCGCAAACGCCACGCCGAGCGCCACTCCCGTCACAGCGTCGCCGCTCCGTCATCGGAATCCGCCCTGCCCAACACATGCATCGATCGCAGCGGCCAACATCACCATCACCACGACTTTACGCACTCCCCAACCGACTGGACGACGTCTGAGGTCCCATCACCTTCTACTATCAAAACTAATGCTCTCACCTCCAGCGATGTGGACGCGGCTCATAACTGTTCCCCTTGCGGTAGCACATTCACCTCACACATTGACCTGGTCTGTCACCTACGAATCTATCGTATGGAGAGTGGCAAACCAATCTACATTCACCGAAATCACCTAAATTGCCCTCATTGCCCCAGTGCAGTTACCCACCGCGTGGGCTCATTGGATCATGCGTGCATCCAAGAAAACATGCGGTAGACAACCGCCGGTCATCTCACACATACCCAACCGGCAACCGCATCACAGAACATCACCACTGCCACCAATGATTGTCCCATCCCACGCACGTTGGAAGTGTGCTTCTCGACTCCATCACCGTGCTGTTCCGCTGATGCATGTTTAATCCGAGCCCGAGGCTACCATTGTGCACCGGCGTCATGCCTTGGGAGGCCGTCCGATGACGCATCATCTCAATCCACGCAGTCTGGCAAGTTGTGTGCGCTTTTGTGGAATGGTAGACTGGTGGGCTGAGACCAAAGTTGTCGCAGCTTATTCTGAAAGCGATCTGTGGCACTCTCATGCATGCAAGGAGTTTATTGATTAGTGGTCAGTGCCTTTCAGTCATTGATTGACTGGCTACCAAGCCTTTGAACGGTGACGGCCAGGCAAGTATGGGAACGTGTGTTATCCCTCTGAACCCCAAGGTTTCCGAGCGTCTGCTATGCCATGATCAACAAACCATGGAACTCGCAGCGCGGTGTGCGGTGGTAGTTGTCCAGTATCTGGTTCTCCAACGGTAAATGCGTTTACGCCCCCGCTGGGCATGCAGGTCGTGTGCAAGACCGCCCAGTCATCCATGACTTTTCTGTTGTTGTTGGTCCAAATCCTGACCAGGTTTTTGTTGAGGACCAGGGCGTGGAGTGGAGCGCCTAGGTAAGGGTTCGACCGCGTCTTCCACCAGCGCCCTTCTCCCCCTCCAATCTTTTTAATAATGATAATTATTATTATTTTTATTAAAGACCCGTCGGGGGCCCATCAAAGCAAGTAAAAATAAATTTACATGCGAATTTTAGACGAGGTAGGAAAAATCTGTACAAAGTGCAATACATAGATTTTGAGATTAGAAGTCAGTTAAGAAAAATGATAAGCGAGGGGGGAAAAAAACTCCAAACGAAAAGTTAAAAATAATTGGATTAATTTTACAGGAGAAAAAAAACCCTCGAAAAAATATAAACAGAAAAATGCAGGCAGGACTGGCCTGCATGTGGCGGTATAGAATGGATTATAGTCGGACATCGACAGGGCCGAAATAAATGTCAGATGTATATAGCGTTTTATAACGGATTTCATGAAGGGATAAATAGACGGGTCGGTCAGGACTAGCCTGTATGTGGCCTTGAATAAGGCAAATAAGTGGCGAAATTGAAAGACAGTCTCGAGACGATAGGAACCCAGATGCGGTCGGTTACCTTCAACCGAGTCCATCCGAGGATGGGGCAAAGGAGATGCGACCAGACTACTAGTATATGGCGAATACAGAATGTTCCGCCCAGAGCGTCGACAGAGCGCATTCTGTGAGGGCACAATGAGAACCAGTCTGGAGGCGATAGGAACCCAGATGCAGTCGGTTACATTCAACTGAGTCCATCCGAGGATGGGGCAAGGGAGATACGACCAGACTACTAGTATATGGTGAATACAGAAGGTTTCGCCAAGAGCGTCGATGTGGAGCATTCTGTGAGGGCACGATGCATGAACTGAAAAATTGGAATAATTAACATTTCTGGTGAGGGATCTTAGGATTGATGCCGTCTTGAAACCGGGCCCAGGTGGGGAGAAGGAGAGGGTTCGGCAGATGCTGCGCAAGTCTACTCTCACCATAAACTAATTCAGGCGCATGTCACCGCGCCTGCATAACCTTACTGGGGGCACACGGTGGGTATTGTCGGATATGACGGTCTTACTATCATACCGATAAGTGATTTCCCCTGCCACCTCCTTATTAGTTCACATTCATATTAATTTCGATCTTTTAAATTTTTCTGGCGGGCATCAGGCCTTCTGTTTTCACTTTGTGCCTTGTAGTTGGGCTTGCTTCACCCGTCTCACTAAGGTTAGCATCGTTTTCAATATTCCTTTACCTCACCTGCTATTATTTCTTCGCCTCATTGCTACCTCCTCTATTTTGCGGGCTTGAAAGTATTTGCGTTTCGTCTTGCTTTCCACATCCCACTAGTCCTTCCAGATTTAGACTCCCGTTATGCGTTCTAATGTATGGCCTAGACGACATCTAAACATGAATTTCTAAAGCAACTCTTGAGACCCGTAGAGTGTGACGGCTGCGAGCGACTTTTAATTTTGTGTAAGTTTCGCCGATCATTTCATTTTGGATACTTTACAGGCTTTCGATTGCCTTTCCTCAAAAAAATTAATTTAAGACAGTTTTCCCCGAATTTACTTGTTTCTCGCCCACTACTAGTAAGTCCTGAAGCCGGAATGTTTCTTCTGTATTTACTTGTTACTGCGGAACCACATCAATTAAGTCTGTGTCCCCCAGCTTCGCACCCACGCATACACGTACCAGTTGCGTGCATCCTTTCACGGTTTTCTGCCTAAACCTCTCGGCTAGCCCAGAAAGCGTAGAGTTGCGCCGCTCCTGACGCGCTGGCTTCTGCTAAAGCTCTCCCGCGTCAAGGTGCACTTTGCCGAACTCTGCAGTCGACTCATTTTAGTCTCTCAAATTGCGTTTTTTTGCAGCCAGGGCTCGTCATCCGAGAACCTAGGATACCCCAACAAAACTTGATGGCTGCAGGGTCTCTACAAAGACTGAGTAATGGTTACCTAGGATTACAATTTGCGTCGAGTATTCGAATGCCCGAATTACCGAAATAATATTATACACACTCAGCGCCACCAACTTCCCGGCCCATTAAGGATTCACGGAAAATAAATCAGACAAACCCTCGTAGAGTGTCGGAAGCTCCAACGAGAATCACGATTTGGCACTCGTGTTCCCAAATAACCACGGGAAAGGAAAACCAAGTACCTGTCTTAAAATTGCGCCATGACTATTAGCAGTTTATTTTCGTTTACTCTGTGGACTGACCTATAACGCTGCACTTGGTTAATCGTGAGTTGGAGTTCGACCGAAAGGATAGAATAAAGGTCAAGCCGATGTCTTACGCAGATTTTTTTGCCAGCCTCTAAAGGTCTCGTATCGCGCGTATGTCTCGCTCGTCCTCCTCATTGCTTGTGGATGCCCGACAATGCACAAATAATACGTTATGCAGTTAGAATTCCTTGATCATCCCAGTTTCGGAACGATCCTTCGAATTTAATATGCGGACCTCCTGTCGAATGAAGACGTCTGCATTCGTTACTAAAACATGGAGGCGATATTTTAGGCCGTCCAGCTAAGACGACTGGAATGGTTTAGCTGTATTGTTCGTCGCCCATCCCAGTAGTCCATTGCTATCTTCTCTTTGCAAGTGACGAAAAGGCAGGGGAAATAAAATGCGTCTGAGTGGCACATGACATGTGGATTTCTTGCCCAACCTGGCGGTTACTAACATAATGCCTCCACATCAATCATATTTTAGCTCTGTGTGGAACACGCGAAAGGCGACTTTCGAGCCCGCAGCGATACTCTGTTGAGAATCTTCAGTACTATTGAAGTCTACTGTTAGCTAGGTCAGAATAACTGTACACGTCAGTAAATGTCCGCCCAACCGCCTGGTTCCACGCACAGACCAACGAACTCTGTCCAGACTCAATCAGTCCTTATGCTTCGGTCATCGGATCCGGCTTTGTTTAGTCAGGTCCAGATGTTTATATCAAGATTTGAGTAAAACACAATACACTTTCACACCTGCCAGACCAACAATAATGTGTTTTGCATATGAAATTTGCTTTTCCCACTTCCAGCTCAGGCAGCATTCGAACATTCTTTGGACATTACAGGCCGTTTGAAATAGGACTTGAGTGGTGCTGAATGGATTCTGTGCGGCAGGCGGTCAGCCGGACGGCGCTGGGCCTGGCGGAGTACATTACACCAGTGCTGCGTCAGTCCAAGTTTCGGGAAACTGGCGTGATTACGCCGGAGGAATTTGTTGTCGCTGGTGACTTCCTGGTCCACCACTGTCCTACCTGGCAGTGGTCCGGGGGCGAGCCTGCACGTGCGCGCTCCTACCTACCTCCAAACAAACAGTACCTCGTTACTAAGGGCGTTCCATGTTATCGGCGAGTCTCCCATCTGACCCCCAAGAATGCCGACTGTGAACGGATTGTTGAGGAGAGGGATGCAGATGGCGGCTGGGTGGACACCTTTTTCATGTCTGACAATGACAGTAAGCGCGCTTCCTCTTTCTTCTTTTTACCGACGCACGAACTAACTGTGATGAAACTCTTAATTTCATATAATCTGCTTTACATCTAAAGCTTACACCGCTTCCTCGCTATGATAGCAACAGAATTCAGTGAGTTTCTCTCGCGAAACCGGACGCTGTCCTCGATGCCCCTTACTCATCGGCTGAGAAGTCGTCCGAGGGCGACACGACTGGAAGTTCGGGTTTTCCTGTCGATAGCAGAGCATAACGCAGATTTATACGGGGACCATTTCGAAAAGCAAGGCAGGGCTAGTCGCCCATTTTCTGTTTTACGCCTATTGTCTCTTGGAAAAGCAGTTTATGGCGCCGTCCGTTCAAGTAAGGGCAAACGCACTTTTACAATAGGTCTCAACATCATTCCAACCAAATAAGACGTCAGGAGCACTGATGTGGCGGGCTTTTGGAAACGCTCCCTTTCGGGGCAACTTATCCACGATCCCCACGCCGGTACCATCTCTGGAGCGAATAATCGAGCGTGCTCATTTTCATTCATTTTTTTGCAATAGAACCCGCGTCAGATCTACCCGAGGACATACCCTACAATATAAAAGCTGGCGACGGCACTGCGGATAGTGGGACATCACAATTTGGCGCTAATTCCGGTGAATGTGATGATGACGATGATGAGGAGGCTGAGGATATGGAAGCCTTTATCCAGAGTGGAATGCTCGACGAGGTAAGCTTGGCTTGCCGTCTAATGTGGACTTTTTGACTTTCTTCTCTCGTTTCTTCTTCTTCTTTCTGTCCTCCTCCCCCCATCCTCCTCCTCCTCCTCCTCCTCCTCCTCCTCCTCATCATCATCATCATCATCATCATCATCATCATCATCATCATCATCATCATCATCATCATCATCATCATCATCACCACCACCACCATTCTCACCTCAACGGCGATGAGAACGACAGAAAAGAGGTTGAGCGGCCTCATTGTTAGCACTGTTTAGTGACATTATATGCAGTAACTGAGCTGACGTCAAGTCTCCATCTAACGCGTGACACGCATGACAGCATCACGATCTGCAACTGACTACCTGACAGGAACTGTTGTCGAAGCAAAAGGGATTGCAGTGGTCGCGCTACGCGCTGCGAAATAGCCATCAAATGTGGCGGGCGGTTTGTATATTTGATACCACGTCATCAGCGCTGGTTTTGTATACATGAGAATCTGACTTTCATTCAAGAATCCATTGGCTTCGGTGGAATACAGCAAACGATTTCGAAAAGACACGAAACAAACATCTGGATTGTTTTGCAAAGTGCCCGCGGACGCTTCAAATTCCTGCGTCAGTGGATACTTGCAAGTTCAACGGCGTTAGCCACTCGGTTAGCTAACTCAACCTTTCGCTCATAGAGGAGTTCTTTCAAGCTCTCTAGCCACCATGGCCCAAGATGAGCCCGACGATGTACAAACTCATGCCACTGCCCCTGCCCCCTGGTCTCGGACTAGATCATAATCCTTCTCCCCTGTTTGGAAGGTTCAGACAACCCACAACGCCCCTTTCCTTCATCACCTGTGCAATTTGATGTCTTTTGATCTTCACATTTTCCTGCCCTGCTGTGACATACAGTAGATGTGATAACTTATGAAATTTTAAGAGTTTCAAAAAAACCCAAAGCGCAAACCCCGCCCACGCTGTGTCCTCCAAGGTTTTACAGCAATAAGGAGACGACGATTATTGAAAAATACATAGTTTTGGTCTAAAAACTAGTACTTTCTAGCATAAAAGCAATTAATTTTCGCAGAAAACTAGAATTTCTCTGGACTTTATTACAATTCCCTAGCTATAAGGATGCATAATGGAGACGCACGAAAAGTGGAGAGTAATGAAAAATAATAACAAATACGAAAACTCAGTGTTTTGTTAACTGTCCATTTGCGTCTAACGCAGCGGAAAGTCTCTTAGAGACGGAAATAGCCTATAGTTGATTGTTTAATATAATTATCTAATATAAAATGGAACTTTTCTTGCATTGAAAGATTGTTCTTTGCCTTTTACCCTTTTCTTTTGATAAGCGCAAGAATTTTTTTAGATAATATTAAAATTTGAACTGTTGACGGGAATAAAAATCGATCGGAGGCCGAATACGGAGGGACTGGCTGTTGTCTAGAGAGTTAGGTTATAATTGAAAGCATTATCAGATTCGTACCTTCTTAGAGCGATGGGCAGGGGCATTATCATGTGAAATTATGGTATCCATTCGGCGTCGGTGGATGTCATAACCGAAGGCATCTTTCACAATATCGACGAAGGCCTTGCTGTTGAAGGTCTACGTAGTCGACCGCCAGACTGGCCGGTCTCCGAATTTGGTAACTATCCAAACCATCAATCGTCGACAGTTCTCGAAGACTACCGTCGGCGCGGTGTGTTCCCTTGGAAGGTCCTTTCCGCCTACAACAATTTGGGCTGGCTTCGTAGGCTTGCTTAAAAACAAGACCTAATAGCAGAAGTAGATTCCCTTTCAGGCTGAGGGCCTGTAATCAGTGCACTTCTTGGTAAGCAAAAAACGTTTCGTACTTAAGAACGGCCTGATTGTGGCCTTCTGCTGGTAAAGTTCAAATTCCTGCATCCTCTTCTTATTTATGTCCGTAGAGAGCATAGGCAGATAGAGATGAGTGGTCTTAATGTGCGGCGAATAAAATCGTCGTGTTTCTTGCTTGTGGACTATTTTGGTCTGCCCAGCTTATTTCTGGGCGTGGTCCTATCATTAATAATCTGCTAAATAGCGATCTTACTCACATTGAAGATGCCTGCTAGTGATACACGCGCCAGCCCTTCCGCTGCTAATTTCCATTTTCGTCCGTAGTCGAAAGTTGTCTTGACGTCTTTGTCGCACGGCCTAGTAATTCTCGTTGTAGTAAAGCAACCTGCCGTCAATAAAGTTTATTATTGGGTGTTATGACACAAAACGCCAAAAATGTGCAAAACAGGATTTTTAAAGCTGAATCTACTCCTCTTTTCTTGAAAGCAATGCGATTTTTCATTCCTGCCTTCACCTGATTTCAGTGGACGTAAAATCCTATATTCTGCTTTTGTAAGGGATTTATTTCATACATTTGTTGTTTACATTAATGCGCACAAACATGTAGTTTTGACCGGTGAGTTTCAAGAGCGTAGGCAATTATTTGGATATCAAGAAGGGTCGAATTTCACCCAAATACTGTCGAGTTGAGGTGGATTCTTCTTTAGTAAATAGCCTTCTGTGCCTCAAATCAATTCAGCGAACATGAATAACAGCATCAACTGTATGACATAATATCCACTGAAATTTAGATAACTTCCCATGAGTTAGGTCGTGTACTGCATGCTGATGATGAGTCACCGATAACGAGCGTTTACGGACTTGCTTAGTCCCTTTATTTTCATGGGTATCGTCGCCGAATTGGCGTTCTCTACTCCGTTCTACTGCTCAAATCGTATAAATTGAGTTGGCCTCACTTAAACCCATCGACTCCATTCCCCACGTCAGCAACTACATTTGTTTCCCCAGCATACTGCTGCCTCATCAACTTCCCCCCTTCCATCGTTTGGGTCCCCTGCCTGATGATTTCTTTCTTGCCACTACCTAGTCGGTCCGTTGTAACCACACCCTTATTGCTTGTCCTTCCTCGTCTTCCACAGGCTGATGCACAAACAGTGGCCAGTAGGATCCGAAAAAACCCCGCGTCCTCGGATCAGCCCTCCACTGCCGACAACACCGATGGCATTCTGCAGACTCGTACCTACGACTTGTACATAACCTATGACAAGTACTATCAGACGGCCCGCCTCTGGCTGTATGGCTACGACGAACAACACAAACCACTCTCTGAGGCTGACATGTACGCCGATTTTAGGTGAGTTCCATACATGGGCGTAAGAAAGACCTATAGCTGACTAACATGCCTGCTATCTACGTAAGTGCGACTGATTAAGAGGTGGGTGTGAGGAGGGGTATGTATATTATTGACGATTGTTTCTGGGATGCAGGAACTAGCTTCTCCCGCCACAGACGCCCCCTTTCCAACCTTGGAACTCCGACTGAGGGGCCTCACAGGCTCTGTGGTCGACCTAGTTGGACGCTCACATGAGAGAGTGAGAACCACCAGCCGACAACCATCTCGCAGCGTTTTTTCTCACCCACAATGTTCCCATGACAAGACATTGCCAAGACGACGGGTGGCGAGCACGGCCGATGAAACCTAGCAATCCGTCTACGCGGACCACACGTCCGACCAGGTTCCCGCTCCAAATGTACCAGACCACTGTGTAGTGGCTTGGGTTTCACATGCGTGAGAATTTCGCAGGTAAAACAGCGAAGACGGCAGAAGCAGACAGGACGCTGTGGTAGCTGCTGCTGCTGCTGCTGCTGGTCGAGGTGGTATGCACTTTCACAGTCTGTCCACAAAGGACGGTTGGGTCATTTTCCGTCTAGGTGTGTGTATATTACTCTTCAAAATGCTTGTACCCCTTTAGGTGATTAGCTTATTTTTCTAAACACTGCCTTCACGCAGTCGTCTTGAGCAGTGTTAACCCCCCCGCCCCCCATCTCCGTCCTCCCTTGACTTCTTTAGCCAGGACCATGCCAAGAAAACCGTGACGACGGAGTCGCATCCGCATCTATCGGGCGCACCCATGCCCTCCATTCATCCCTGCAAGCAGGCCGATGTAATTCGCAAGCTGATGGAGACAATGGCCGAGGGAGGCGCCGAACTGGGCGTCCACCAGTACCTCCTGATCTTCCTGAAATTTGTCCAGACTGTAATACCTACCATTGAATATGATTACACGCGGAACTTTAAAATCTCCTAAACATGCCACGAACTGTCACATTCCTTCTCCTGCCTGCCCGTAACCGATCCGCCCCCTTCCCCCCCCCTCTGGACCCCGCTCTTGTGTGGACGATCTACATCCCTAGTCCCTCTCTTTCCGCCCACCTCGCCTCTGGCGAAGAATTAGGCGATCACGTTGACTCACGGTTCTAGGATGCGCTGTTATTTTTTGTGGTTCTCACTTGATGTCCTTTCTTTCATCATGCCTTCACTTGATTTCATGCCAGTTATGTCCGTTATCGACGCCTAGCCGCTCAACACATCGATGCTGTTATCTCTCCCTCTTTATATAGACATAGGCGCGATAATGTGCTCGAAGACTAATGGGAAGAATAAAACTTATTGTTCAGAATCCCTCGACTTTTGACTTAAACGTGCGATGTGCCATCGCTTCGACGCAGCCATACTCCCTGTTTACATTTTTTGCATGTTTTACAGACTCCTATGTCTGTATTGCGACCTGCGGTGATTCGTGGTTATTATTCAGGGAAATCGAGGGGTTGTATACAAGTCAGCCCCCTCATGTAGACGAGATTGGGGCAAATGTCTGATTGGTATACCGAAAGGGGAATACTGACGAAGACAGGGAGACTGTTCTGGCCATTTCCGGCTTATTAACCACCATCAGCTAGCCATCCCCAACCCCAGGTTTGCGTGACCTGGGATTCAAACTCAGATTTCTGGCTCATTTGGCGTAAGTAGGTCTAACGTCCTACCATTGATCTGCGGGCCCGTTGTTCTGTCGGTCGTGATCGGGAATGCTATGTTGGAAGCGCTTTCACCAATCTGGTTACGGAACGTGTGTGCCCCGAACGGGCCACGTGGTTGATGCACTGGGTCCACGCAGGGACCATATCGGATTCTGGTAGGCGTTATCGCATTGCGCACTATAGCAAATGCCAACATTTCGGGGTGCGGTGGCAGACTCGGTTGCCGGCGTACGTCGCTCACACTGGGACCCGTGCCGCTCCCCTTGTTGTTGGTCAAAACCCTGGTCCTTTGTTGTGTGCACCAGGGGGTGTGGAGTGGAGCGCCAAGGTGCGGTCTCGACCGTGCCATTCATCTGCGGTGGGGAGTGCGATAGATGCTGCGCAAGTCTACTATCACTTTAAACTAATTCACGCGCAAGTCACCGTTCCGGCCTTCAGCTCGCTGCGGAGCAGACGGTGGACATCGTCGGAAACGACGGTCGAACTGTCGTAGAGGACGTGTTAGTCCCGCTGTACCTTGGAACTCAATCTAGAGCCCTCGCAGGTCGCCGCACAGCGACCAGTAGTTTATGTAGAAGCAGGAGTACCAAAAAAGACAAAGATTAGTGTATTTCCAGGCGGTTACTTCCGCTGCCTCTGTGTGGGAATTATTTCCCAGCTTATTTGATTAATTTCCAACATTGATAACTGACCTTTCAAGGTCGCCCTCTGGAATTGAGGTGAGCGGCCAATGCTGGGTGCCAGGGCGGTAAGCAGTAACCAGCTTCTACGGCCAATGTGTAGCCAGATGCGCCTTAATTCGTATTTCGTGGCAGTCCGACTCTGGCGGCAAGCTGGCGATCAGCTGATTGATGCTCCTTCCGGCTAAAGTACGCATCACGTGACCCCTGGGCCGCCTGACTGGTGGATGGAATGCAGGTCTGACAGCGTACTGCGGTGAACTTTGCGTCATATCAGGCAACAGAGTCGAGCTCCGTCAAGATGAGGCCCATCCTTATATGCGTTTGTCGTTGGCTAGTCCGAACCTTTGTTTACGGCTGCGGCAACCTCCAGCCGGGCGAGAAGGTCTCTGGAGGGCATAGCGGAGGAAGCAGATTTCCTGCTCAGATGCTGATCCAGACTTCTCCCCCGACCCGTCAGATTCCAACATCACTGCCTCCCGAGTTGGGCTGTTAGAGCATCAGTCTACGGGAAGGTTTCTCAGCTACGGGGTGTCAAAGCTCGGTGTACCCGAAGTCTACCTTCAAATAGAGACGAACCATTGCTGTGTGTCTTGCCACTGGCGTGAATGTTCCGCTAAAGTAGGTTTGGATAGGCCTTCAGTCCGAAAATGGGGTCGGCAGGCTCACTGTCCGTGTGAATTCTGGTTTGTCTGTAAAGTGACACCGGCAGCTTTTTGTCGAGCTAACAGATCGAGAATATTTCCAGTTTGCCCCCCTTCCTATCAATGATATAGCACACAACGAGATTGGAAGAGGAAAGTGAGGCCGGCCCAAGCATGATCCACTTAGCGCGCGTCCATACCGTTTCGATACTTTTGGATTCGTGACTTGGACGTTTGACAAACCGGTAGGTTGACCATTCTGGGGCCGACGCAGACGCCGATTCCTCCTCCT